TAATAAGAAATCCTAGACATTATCCAAGCAGGGGAAAAAAAAATGGAGATTTACCATCAATTCTTAGTATAGACATTCAACCTTGGACTTTAGGGCCTCAGAGCACTGGAGGTATTAATATCCATTGGACTTGCAACTGGGAAATGAATTCCTTTTTAAATTTTCTCTCAATTTATGTAGTTACTCTTTGCTTGGTGAGAATATGTCTTTTTATACTCTTCCCAGGATTTGTTAACCCAGGGTTGACAAACTACAAGCTTCAGGCTAAATCTAGCTTGTCACCTATAACTATTTTATAAATAAAGTTTTATGAGAACTTGCCAATTCACTCATTTACTTTTGTTTGATGGCTGATTCCATATACAGTGGCAGAGTTTGAGTCATTGCAACTGTGGTCCTATGGCCCACAAAGCCTCAAACCCTTCTCTAATTCTCTCTGTGACTGTTACTTAATTGGCGAACAGCCTTTTAGGGAAGGGCTATCCTGCTTCCTCTCAGCTACTATTATTATCAGTGTAAGAAGAGGATTAATCTGTAAGAAGAGTTTTCCCTCTAGCAGGAGAGACCAACAGAATGAGGGATGCCTGAATAAGAATGTGGGGTCACTGACAGACATTCAGCAGATAAAGAGACTTGGTTTGTTTAAATTGGAGGGCCATTCTTGGATTTCCGTTGTTTCCATCTAACATTGATGGCTAATGACATGATTCTCAGTCAAGCAGGACTGAGTTTGCCTCCTTATGAACAGTTGGCAATGTCCAGGGATGTTTTTGTCATCCCAAATAGGGGAGTATTACTGGCATCTCACTGTAGAGTCCAGGGATTTGGCTAAATGTCCTACAGGCACAGGGTAGCCTCCCCTGACAAAGAATTAGCCAGCCTCAAGTTTCACTAATACCAAGATTTAATAAGCTACATGTCCACCACCTTGGCCTGACAGCTATAATAGTTCTGTCAATGTGCCACTTAAAAAAGGAGTTGAGGGCCCTCCCTGGTGGTGCAGCGGGTTAAAGCACAGCACTGAGATGCTAAAGCCACCTTAGCCTGAGTTCGATCCCCGTCCCAGAGGTGACCACATGGCGCGGCAAACTTCTCCTGACCCACCCACTGCTCCCCTCGGCAGTGTACTTCATCAGTTGAACTGTCCTGCTCCTCACTCTGTCTCTGGTGGGGACAGAGACCCCTGTACCTCTTGCCTGTACCCCAGCTCTGTATGCATAAATAAATAAATCTTTTTAAAAAGGGAGAGGAAGAAGCTGAGCTTCTGGTGGCAAATGGGCACATAGGTACCGACTAAAAGCAAGGTCCCCAGTAAGAGAGCAAAGGTTGGAAGTAGACCATGACCTCTTTCTTTCTTTCTTTCTTTCTTTCTTTCTTTCTTTCTTTCTTTCTTTCTTTCTTTCTTTCTTTCTTTCTTTCTTTCTTTCTTTCTTTCTTTCT